TTATTTTAATGTTACTTAGTAATTACGCTTCGGCTAAACGAGAAATTGTTTCCCAGAAAACGGCGTCAATCACGACTGATATCTCGCACACCGGCTACATATTACGCAATCTTGCTCGCCTGTGAAAGTCTGGTGAATGTACGTTAGCACGAAAAAGCCGCTCAGAACTCAGACTATGGTCAGAGAGGTTAGATGCGAATGTGAAGTATGTATGTGCGAATAGAAAAACGAAAAACTTCTAGTATGGCATCTTTAAGACTTCTATTGACTTCTATATGAAAGACTTCTATTAAGACTTCAATTATGGCATCGATTTCGCGCAAGTGCGAATCTCTAGTTGTGGCTGAAAGGTAAAGGAATGGATTCATGCATACCAGATCCACGATTTACATCGGTGCGGATGCGTTTAACGGAAACACGGCAGGCTAGCCGGTCTGACTAGTCGTCCCCTGCGGTGAGTAGACTGATCGGCAGCTAGCCGGAAACTGGCCTTCGGCCCGGAAAGATCAGCTGTTGATCCCAAAATATCCTAATGACAGCTGAGAATGTAGCTATGTAGAGGGCACTTGCTGACTGGGTCATGCACCATGTGGCGATCATGCATTGAACGGACATTGCTGAGAGCAATTTTATGTTGACATTTGAAAGACTGTTATGACGCTGCCCCAAACTGCTTCCCAAGCGTCAACTGCTGCAAAATTCTTCCGTATGCGCTGGGATAAATGTTGAGCTTTACAATGACCCTGACGGCAAATACTTTACATCAACAGCGCCCTGCCAAACTCCGCGTAAGCGTGCTTATAACTTCTATAAGTTATCTCTCAAACACTGCCACAGTCCTATGCATGCCGAACTGGGACGAAGCTGCCCATACTAATTACGGCCCTGTGCGTCATGGCATATGGTTGCGTACACCAATAAACTTGTAGCTGCGCGTACTGGCACGCACGCTTCAAGTCAGGGCCACTCGGCTATTCCGCTTCGTCATCGCATCACCCGATCCAGTCTAATTACGGCAGCGGGCAGCGTCTTCTACTTCCTCCACCGCACTGTCGAGCTGGAAGGGCTAACGTCTCCGACGCGCAGCAAGCTGGCATCGTTGTCGGAGCCGATGGGACGGCGGCGCGTCGGCGAGCGGCCGTTGACCTGGTGCGACACTCGTGGGGAGGCCGGCGGCGGCGCGGAAAACCGGTCCTTTACGACCTCCAAGACGCCACGAAACCGGGTTACTGGAGACACCGCGGGGCTGTGCTGGCGCCGACGCCGGCGCTAGACACCGCTCACGCTGGTCCACGGCTGGTGGTGAGGTTCCGCTCACAGTGGCCCGCTACTTGTGGCGACGCTGTGCCGACATCAGCCTTCTGTTGGTGGCGAGGTTTTGCTCGCAATGGTTCGCCGCTGGTCGTGCGGTCCTGCTCAAAATGGTCCACTGCTAGTGGCGGGGTTTCGCTCACGATGGTCCACTGTTGGTGGCGAGGCTCTGCCGATGTGGTCTACTGTGGTGGTGAGGCTCTACCGATGTCGATCCACTGTTGGTGGTCAGGCTCCGCCGATGTTGGTCCACTGTTGGTGGTGCGGCTCTTCCGATGTTGGTCTTCTGTTGGTGGTGAGGCTCTACCGATGTCGATCCACTTTTGGTGGTCAGGCTCCGCCGATGTTGGTCCACTGTTGGTGGTGCGGCTCTTCCGATGTTGGTCTACTGTTGGTGGTGAGGATCTACCGATGTCGATCCACTGTTGGTGGTCAGGCTCCGCCGATGTTGGTCCACTGTTGGTGGTGAGGCTCCGCCGATGTTGGTCCACTGTTGGTGGTGAGGCTCTGCCGATGTCGGTCCAATGTTGGCGGTGATGCTCCGCCGATGTTGGTCCACTGTTGGTGGTGAGGCTCCGCCGATGTTGGTCCACTGTTGGTGGTGAGGCTCCGCCGATGTTGGTCCACTGTTGGTGGTGAGGCTCTCGATGTCGGTCCAATGTTGGCGTGTGATGCTCTGCCGATGTCGGTCCATGGCGGTGATGCTCCGCCGATGTTGGTCCACTGTTGGTGGTGAGGCTCTTCCGATGTTGGTCTACTGTTGGTGGTGAGGATCTACCGATGTCGATCCACTGTTGGTGGTCAGGCTCCGCCGATGTTGGTCCACTGTTGGTGGTCAGGCTCCGCCGATGTTGGTCCACTGTTGGTGGTGAGGCTCTGCCGATGTCGGTCCAATGTTGGCGGTGATGCTCCGCCGATGTTGGTCCACTGTTGGTGGTGAGGCTCCGCCGATGTTGGTCCACTGTTGGTGGTGAGGCTCTCCGATGTCGGTCCATGTTGGTGGTGAGGCTCTGCCGATGTCGGTCCAATGTTGGCGGTGATGCTCCGCCGTGTTGGTCCACTGTTGGTGGTGCGGCTCCGATGTTGGTCTACTGTTGGTGGTGAGGATCTACCGATGTCGATCCACTGTTGGTGGTCAGGCTCCGCCGATGTTGGTCCACTGTTGGTGGTGAGGCTCCGCCGATGTTGGTCCACTGTTGGTGGTGAGGCTCTGCCGATGTTGGTCCACTGTTGGTGGTGATGCTCCGCCGATGTTGGTCCATGTTGGTGGTGATGCTCGCCGATGTTGGTCCACTGTTGGCGGTGTGCTCCGCCGATGTTGGTCCACTGTTGGTGGTGAGGCTCCGCCGATGTTGGTCCACTGTTGGTGGTGAGGCTCTGCCGATGTTGGTCCACTGTTGGTGGTGAGGCTCCGCCGATGTTGGTCCACTGTTGGTGGTCAGGCTCTGCCGATGTTGGTCCACTGTTGGTGGTGAGGCTCCGCCCACAGTGGGCCGCTACTGGTGGTACTGCTGTGACGGCCTTGGTTCACCATCCAGAGGAAGGATACGTTGGAATCATTGCCTATTTGCACGTAGCCGGCTGCTTAAAGCGAAGAACCACCCACAAATGAGTTGTCTTTAATGGTATCTGGTTACTATTATCAAACAATTATATGCAGGGTATCAGTACTTTCTGTCGCGTATAACTGGACGGCATAGACGATGACCTATGTTGTGGGCGCTGTGCACTACGAGTTCAAATTTCTCATGTTCAGGATACGATCTTCAATATACCAGAAGGACGTTAAGGGGCTAAACAACGCTCCTATTGATGGTGCTCAGTATGTCGAGATGTCCTCATGCTTAAGAGTGACAAGGGTTCTCTGACCGTTTGAGTACTGTCAATATGATTGTTGTTTAGCACTACCGAAAAACCCTTGTCGCCCCTGAGGATAAGCATAGCTCGAAACATTGAGTAGCGTCATTATAATCCTTGTTCACTACAACGGTACAGTGACGGTCGTTAACTCAACGAAAGAACTCAATGCATAATGTCGAAAAATCATGCGCCGAAGGCCTGCATTTCTTATATCAAGGGCACTATGCACCAACAGCTGTTGTGTTGATATCTAGACTGAAGCTGATTCGAAAAATGCTGGTGCGACCTGCAACCGTGGCGCTTGCAACCTGCGACTTGTGCGACCTGCAACCCGTGCAACCAAGCTTCGGCAGCTCAGGACCGGCCCGGGCACGGAGAGAGCCGGCCCTCCTGTCTGCCGCGAGACGCGTGTGCGCTCACGACGATCGTAGTGGCCTTTATCAGCTGAGTGTCTTCACCAGCCGCGGAGTGTAAGTGGTGAACAGCGCCCTCCCTTATTTGCACGTGAGTCAGAAGCACGCCACATAAAATGTCCGGCTCGCCAGCGTTTCCGAGGACTCAAACATCAATGAAGCATCGTCAGTGTTTTCGAGCTCTCCATCAAGTAACTGTTTCAACTTGGGATGCGTAATTGTATCTCAACAAAAAGAGGGAGTACAGGAATCTGGAAACTGGCTTTTCGCCTCTGCGACGAGATGATCCACCAGGATGTCCCGAGCGATCGGCGTTTTGTTCAGCTCACTCCAGCGCTGGTAATTTTAATGGGGAAACTGATGTAGAATAATAAGGTTTGATTCAAGAATGCCAACGGTGGTGAATTGGGAGCTGATCCAAAGGCTGTATTCATGTATGGTGAATGGCATCTCCCACATCCAAATCAGCTGGAACTTAGATTTGATGCACGCGTGTGCCGTGCCACCATAGCTCTAATATATTATGCTTTTTGAAGTATGCCCCAAATGTGGAACACTGCATTTAAGGAAAATATTGTCGGTCCAGCAACAAGTGGGTAAGACATTCATTTCACCGCTGACTCCTGCCTTGTAGGAGAGCAATGTTGGGTACTACTTCGATCGGTAGTGTTTTTGGAGACAGGGCAGCCGATTTAGAGCATGAAAAATAGTTTATTTTTTCCTTGAAGCTGGGCACAAGGGTCATGTCAAAAAAAATTTACTAAGCTGTAAGTAGGGACTGGCTTATCACACACAGATGAGTCTAGTGTTAAGCTCAACACTGTAAGACCATTTGCCACCTCCAAACGACAGCAATACAGCTTGTCAGGCAGACCTATCGCAGGTTATTGCACACCTTTACGCAAAGACCCGGCTTACGGGTTTTTCATCACAAATTCACTTTGATTCCGGTTGCTGAAGGACGTTTCACAACCAGTGTACGAAAAGGACGCCGAATATACTATTGCTTGCTGAGTTGGCTGCTTAACTTGCATATCAGATCTGGGGCATCTCGAGTAACGAGGTTAGATAAACGTTGGGCAGCAGCATTTATAATGTGACACTCCTGGGAATGGCCTACATGAAGCTTCTAAAGGAGCGGTCATGGCATTGAAGCCCAAGAGAACGAGTTTGAGTGCATGCAACAAAGCACGTTTCGCGCATCTGTAGACGGCTTGCGCGTACACTGGCTACTGTTACTCAACAGCCAGCATACAAAGTATTCTTGAACCCGGTTGGTTAAGACAAGACGTCCCACAGTAATCATTCGCAACGCGCCGAGCGAACGGGTTAGAGCAACGCTGTCGATATCAAGACGTACTGCGCTACAGACCAAAACATCGCTGCCATAACACTAACAAAAGCGTGATCACCTACCACATTTGCTGCGACATGTTCCACTTCCGCCGACTAGCAGTCCTTGACCTATGACATGGAGCAGGTGCCGTCGTCTCCACCCCCGCCCGGCCCTCCCCCACCTGCCGCCGCACGCGCACAACTGTCGCCGGCGCACCGTCCGCCGCAGCCGAGGCAGCCCCACATCCAGGGGAACGCGACCAAGCGGTGCCTGCCCGTCTGCTAGTGTCGCTCGGCCGTCGCTGGCCGGAGTGCCCTGGAGCAGGTGCAGCCGCCGTTTACATTCTCGTGAGAGCGGCCGAAAACAACTGCCGGATCGTCCATGGCGCCGTCCGTCCGACCGCTCCTCGCTTCCCGGGGCTTTAGGCGTACAACGCGGGCGGGTTCGACGAAGCAGCCGGCGCGTATGAAAATACCGGCAGCAGACGCCCGCAGCGTGTGTGTATTTACCTTGTCGAAGTGAGAGGGTCGTCGGAATCAACGATCTCGCTTAAGATAAATGAGGGTGAGAACTAAATTGCCATCGACCCAGGCTTGCACCATCATATGACGAGACGTAATCGCCGATTCCGTTAGTCTCGGTGCTGACCGTTCTTGGCCAAGATAATCTGACTATTCGTTCCGCTGTTTCTGTGGTGTTTAAGTTGACAGCTGTTATGACGTTCATCACAGCATATCGAGCAAAACAGCATGAATGCAGGTTTAAAGGTAGTCTTTCACCACTAAAATTCACCCATCAGGCTAATTTCAAATACGTGATGCCACACATTACCAAAGGAATGAAAGTTTTTGGCCAAAAAATCTTTTTTTATTAACAATCACCAAGCAATGCATCCGATCCGACTGGACTGCACGTGACTTGCAGTGTATTACAGGTACATACTTTCTTCTATGATGATGGCTCCGAACGCATTCAGTCACCATGAGCCATGCTGTTTTAGTCCACGAGGCTGCCTTTACAAGAAGATCTCAGAAACCTGATGCCCTGTCCCTGTTGACCCACCGTTTGACCTTTAATTTAGGTAGAGCTGCAATGCAACCAGTGAAGATCCCAGTGATTGCTAGTTTAGCTGTGCGTGGTCAACCACTGACTCTTTTGGTCAGGTCAGCCTAAATGTTTGGCCAAACAAAGTGCAAACAAAAATCCGCTTGTGTAAAACTGAGCTTTTCTAAACAAATTGCAAAAACCGTGTTCTGGAACAGGGTCACAAGCATGGTCTAGGACAGATTTAACGTCAATAAGGCCATCGCAAACCAATTGCATCGTTTGATATTCATGACCTAACAAATGTGTTCTGCCGGCACAGGTGTTGGGTAAGCCGTAGGCGTACATTTAAGCGTAAATTTAAGATATATGTACCATTCTGCTTAGGTGGCCCGAAAACGCACCAGTTATTCCACTTCAGGAACACAAGGTACAGCAAAAAAGCAAGATGAACAAAGTAAATATGCTGGCCTAAAATCTACAGTCCTTTAGTAGTGACTTGTAGCTGAGTGGCCTGACGGAGCCGGACTTACTTTGCTTCACAAACCATGCGTATTTGACATCGCATAAGCATTTCCATGTGTTGCACCTCTACCATTTGTCCTTCTTCCGAGGCATAAGATGTACCGTTTGGGGGCGGTGGCCACATCCTCGTCCGGTAAAGGGTTAATCCATTCGGTTTTCAAGGCATCGGATTCTATAGACTAAATATTACTTACCACGAACTTCAGGCAGCATCAGTATTGCACGAACATCACGAGCATTGATAACGTTGAATGACAACGTGTACCTCAAGATTTTGGAATCACTGCAAACTCGTAATATTCGTCCGGGGTAGAGCGCATGTGTGGCGACTTGAAAGCTGGTTTGAACAACTCTGTTGAGACTATGCACATTTAGAACTCTGATGCCCGCCGGCAAGCTCGCCTTTACACTTAAAGTTGTTACGGGCCGACGAAACCTTTCGGCTTTGCTGCCTGCGTTTAGCGCAGCCCTTGGCGCACTACCATCTATCGTGTGAGGGAGCTCAGATGGTTGATTATTTTGACGGCGTTTTGATATCAGTACTTGTCACAGCGTCAGAGCACTGTCTACATGTCCCTGTCTCGGTTTTTTAGCCTTGTTCACCCGTGACCATAAACACAGCTTCGAACCGTCGAGTGCTGCCAATGTAACCAACAAAATAACCAGTGCTGACTTGACAACGTGCTTTATCCGGTACCTCCTAGAATGCTAAAATTCGATTACAGTCAGCATATGAATCGTCATCCCATAAGTCTGAAAAAGCAGGAGGTCAAAGCCTTACATCGAGTATGACCGGTTTTCCTGGGCAAGACTGCTTTCCCAGGCAGGCGGCTAGCCGGCTAGCCTCCGACCAATAGCCTTGCGGCTAGCCGGCTAGCCTCCGGCCAATAGCCGTGTGGCTAGTCGGTTAGCCTCCGACCAATAGCCATGCGGCTAGCCGGCTAGCCTCCAATCAATAGCCGTGCGGCTAGCCGGCTAGCCTCCGATCAATAGCCGTGCGGCTAACCGGCTAGCCTCCGACCAAAAGCCGTGCGGCTAGCCGGCTAGCCCCTGACCAATAGCCGTGCGGCTGGCCGGCTAGCCGCCGATCAATAGCCGTGCGGCTAGCCGGCTGGCCTCCGATCAGTAGCCGTGCGTCTAGCCGGCTAGCCTCCGATCAATAGCCGTGCGGCTAGCTGGCTAGCCTCCGATCAACAGCTGTGTTGCAAACGGCTCCGTTACGGGCACCTCACTGCCTGGCTCTTGACCGTCCTCCGCGGCAAGCAGCAGGTAGCGATCCGGCTTATCCGGCTGGTTAGCTCGGTTAGCCAACTCAGCGAGCTAGCCGTATGGAGGGAAGGGACTGGTCCCCCTTGAGTCACGCCCCCGCGCGTCGCCTCCACGGGACTCGCTGGATCAAAAACGGGTTTTATTTCAGCGACGAGAGGTCTGCAGCAGGTACCGCACTTTCCAAACCTCGGTTTGAACGGGTTCCAGACGACGCCCTGCTGCACTGTGAGTCCGCTGCTCCTCCGCGGCCTCCACTGGCTGTGTGGGGAGTAACCTTCACGTATGGCCAACGGCGTCATGTGGAACATCATGGTGGCTCTCAGTAAGTCTAGCGTCCACCTGTTTCTCGCTGCGAATGGCTCCGTTACGGGTACCTCCCCGACGAGTGGCTCATGCGGTTGGTTCCGTGTCGAGAAATTAAACCAGTGCACTGCTTGGGGGCCCGAGCCGGTTGGTTTGGAGTATCGCGAAAGCGCGGGCTGAAATCGAAGCCATTACACTCCAAATGAGAGTTGCCAAGGAGGTGGCTCCCGTGTGGTGTGCAGCACATCATCGTCGCTACACACTTCCGGGTCACCAGCAGCATGCCTGAAGCCCCCAATGGCCAGAATATTGAATGTTGTTGGATTTACAAAATGACTACATGATTTCAGCGCATGCTATGCAGAACGAGCCGCGTGCGGGCGAGGCACCCAATGAATCCAGTCAAGCATAGTAGTGCGCACGGGGCACACATGGCCCGCTGTGAATGTGGGTGTTGAGGCCGGGAGGACGGCCCGCTGTAGATGTGAGAGTTGAGGCCGGAAGGACGGCCCGCTGTAGATGTGAGTGTTGAGGCTGGGAGGCCGGCCCGCTGTAGATGTGAGTGTTGAGGCCGGGAGGACGGCCCGCTGTAGATGTGAGAGTTGAGGCCGGAAGGACGGCCCGCTGTAGATGTGAGTGTTGAGGCTGGGAGGCCGGCCCGCTGTAGATGTGAGCGTTGCGGCCGGGAGGAGGACCCACCCTGGTTTGAAACGAGCATGGGTGCGAGGAGCTTGACGTCATGTTCCGTGCGGAAGGAAGGCCTGCTGGTTACCCAGGGGTGGGGGAGGGGGTGCGTCTCACTATTTGGCTCCTGCTCTGCTCAACGTTGACCAGCGATCTTAAAAATTCCCCGACTGTTTTTGAAACAACTCCCGAAGCACTAAACGCATAATATTGAATTTGTGGAGCCCGAGTGTTATGAGTTTTAAACGTCTGAAGCCCCGGCTATGTTGTATTTTTGCATTTGGTGCATAATATTTAATCACTGAAGACCCATCCTTGCGCAGACCACGAATATTGAACGCTCTGCCACTGGCCCTGTGATATGAGTGAGCAGTGGTGTCGGTTAAATCATAACCTTATGCGAAAGTGGCAGTGGCCGAGTGTGGGTCAACGCGCACGAATTCATACAACCATCTCGAATGGCTCCAAATCAGCATAACCGCAGCTCACAGTTATAATCGGGACCTTACTGATCATCTCATATGATGCGCGAGGAGCAAATTAGCATAATCTTAGCGAAGTCAGTGAAACCACACACGCTGACTTTCATCCAGCAAGAAGCAGATGCGGACTTAAAACCCACAAATGCATGCTTTGAATGCTGAAATGCGCTTTGGTTTTCAACGAGCCAGAGAATCAGCTATCAATCGTCCTCGAAAAAGGCGACCAAACGCCGCTTTGCAAAGTTAAGTATGGTTCTGATCCTGCATGATGAATTCCTACGCAGACAATCAAGGGTCTTCCATACACCAGGAAGTACTGTTTACGCCAAGGTATCAAGCAACCTTCAGTATGAGATGAGAAGCAATGCTAAGCAATATTTGGATTTGGCTGTTCATCTTTGATAATGACCGATGTTTTTACCCAAAATGGAAAAATTGTCTCCCATTTCTCTATCATAAATTTGTTCCGATATTTTGATCGAACGAATTCCTGCGATCAGGGCTCACGCCTGGCAATACTGCTGTTTTGAACTCTGACCGTGAGCGGCTTTTTAGGGCACTTAAGAACGGCCTGGTCAAGTTCCAAGCTTTGCCTCAGCAGCTTTTTTAAAGCAAATTTTGATTTTAGATCCGATAAAGCATTGCTTTTTACGACACACTGCAACGCATTTAGTGACCTCGGGTTGGCCAGAGGACCAATGCAATCTTTGAAATTTGCTCTTGACTTTTTCTTGATAGTACGTATATCGCTTAGCTATCGCTAAAAGCTATCGCTATTTAAGTTGCAATTCACTTTTATTTACCCTAGTCTAGAAACATGGCTCGTTTTAGCGCCGAAACCTTGACCAACAAGACA